TCATCCAACCATTATCCATCATCCATCCATCTCTCAGCCAACCATCCATCATCCAACCATCATCCATCCATCCAACCATCATCCATCCTTTGTCTTTGATTGAAGATGAAAACTTAGACCTTCTGCTCCAGTTCTTAGATCTTCAGGTGTTTCCAGGCTGGTGAAGATCTGTAACCTGTGCAGAAAGTTTTGGGTCTGACTCGTGGGTCTAATGCTGATCCTGGCACTCTGTAGARGAGGGTTATTTCAACCACTTGGGTTCAGGATCTGGTTCTTTTAGTCCTGATCCAAGCTTTGTGCACACAGATAAGGGTTGAAACTGAGAGACAAACTGAGCCCTCATTACTGCAGATGAGACCCTGATCCATCTGGCAAAGGACTGGGATCCAGGGACAGCCCTRGTTAAGTTCAACCCTAACCAAGAACCTGCTTTGGTTCTACAGGAACCAGGTAGGAGGACCACGTTTAAGAGATCCAGACTAGTCAAACCAAGTGTCTGTCCAGGAGTCAGGACTGGGGTGGGTCAATGCTGTGAACCTGGTAGTCCAGTCTTGAATCCAGGGGCTCAGTTGGGCTGAAACCCTAAAGACAATAACAGGAAGCTGACACAGACCCAGTACTGGTAGAGACGTAAAGGTTAGTGTCAGGAACCCAGGTCTGGACCCAGGGTGTGCTGAATCCTGGAGTCAGAGACAGTTTCCATAGACCTGGTCATGAATGAAGTACAGGTCAGGGGTCAGAGGTCATGGAGGCCCTTACCTGTCTCCCAGCCTCTGCGTTGTGCTGGTTCATGGTACTGAGCGTGTATCCCCCACGGCTCGCCGACATGTTCTTCACTGTGGTCTCCATGAACCTTCGGCTGAACCAGGTTCCATACTGGATGTGGTCCGAACAACCCCCCCAATGCCAGCTCTGCACCGGCACTGAGAAGCCCCTGGCGGCGGCGGCGGCGTTCTGAAGTCTGGCATCGCAGCCGCACTCCGTCATATTGACCTGACTGCAGGAGCGAGTGACGGCGTGCACGAGCCCGGCCGCCATGATGGCATAGATAAATGCTGTTTCTTTGGTCCCTTCAAAATAAAACAAACATCATAACATAGACATAAATATAAATATCACAAGACTGAGCCCCGCCCATCCCGTCCACTGGTAGTGTCTGTGACATCATGGAGGAGCAGAAAC